CTCGGGCTTCGACTTCTTCGAGGACCGAGCAGAGCCCCCTCCGAGGCCCCGGGCCGATCTCGTTCTTATTCAGGTCCAACGTGAGCTCCATGAGCTCCGTCAGCCGGGCGAGGGCGGAGGCCACGGCCTTTGCGCCCTCGTGGCCTCGGTGCAAGCAGGGGCGTGACTGCTCAAGTGCTGCTTCCAGCTGCCTTTTTCAGCTGGAAAAAATCGCGAGGCACAGCGAAGGGAAGGAAATTGGCGGCCTTCCCGAAGGGACGGGAAAGCCCCCACGTGAATCCGAGACTCGGCCGCCAACACGCTGGAAATCAAAGAAGCGGAACGAGGAACGCGCAGCTGAGGCCCCCGGCCCAGGGAGTTGTATCGCAGCTTCAACGTCAGCCGCTCCAGCTCCGTTTGCTGGCCGAGGCCCGCGGCCAGGTCCCGGGCCCCGTCAGCGCCTGCCCAGCGGAAGGGAGGAGAGGATTTCGTCTTCTCCGCTCCGCGCACTCCGGAAAGGGCCGCCGAGGCCAGGGCCCAAGCGGCTGCCGTGGTGGTTGAGCCCGAGGCCGAGCTCTCGCAGTTTCAGCTCTGGCAGGGCCCGGCAGAGCGGCGCGAAGAATTTCCGGAACGCCTCCTCGCCTCGGTGTGGGAGCGCACGCCCGGTTGGAGGGGCCCTGGGCCTGGGGGCCTCCCGGAGTCCGAGCCCGCGGCTGAAGAGGCGGTGGATATCAAGCACGAGCCTCTGCTTTTCCTCGAGCTCTTCGAGTTCTTCGTCCTTGCGTGCGGCCGGCGGCGCCGGGGCCGCGGGCGCTGTCCGAAGAGCTCCGTATTTACAGACCAGGAAAAACGAGCGATTGTGCCAAGCAAAAGGTGACTACACCAGGTCGCCGGTCGGGTGGGTGGTAGGAGGGGTTCCGCGTGGTTCCGGTTTCCAGGCTTCTTGGGGAGACACTTCTGAAGTTGCCCTTCAGAACCCTGCCGTCGACTTCTATCGGTCGGACCCGAAGTGATGAAGAACTTGCCACGCTTCAGAGAGAGCACGCGAGCCTCCAACCTGCGCAGGAACTCCACCGCCGGGTGGGTGATGGTGCCCTTCACCTGGACCTGAAGAGAAAAGGCAGCCACAGCAGGCAGCCAGAGAAGAGGGGAAGCTATGAGAGAAAGAGCGGGCAAGAAGCCACGCCACGAGCTCTCGTCACCCCGCCTGGCCGGTCCGGAGGGCCCTGGCAAGTGCCACGTGGGCGTTGCCCAAATCGCAGCCCGTCAGATCGAGCCGCCGCTCCACCTCGCTTTTTTGGAGAGCCTGCAGGGCGGTGCTCTAGACTCGCTGGAAAAGAAGGGTCTAGGGTTTAAGAAAAGGTTTCTGGGGTGGCTGCGAGCTTGCTGCAAGTACAATATAGCTGCCAGCCTCAAGAAGAGCGAAAGCGCCTTCCTCTGCGATTGTGGCTCTCGAAAGGCTCAGCTGCTTGAGGGTCCGATTCTCCTTCATTGCCTGCACGCGATACCGGGGTTGCTTGCAGCCACAGCGACTCCGCAGAGCCTACATGCAGAGTTGCAGGCATCGCGCTTCGGCTTCGGTCTGCAAATCTCTGAATCCGATCCCCTTGAAGGCCTCGGCCAAAGCCTTGACACCAGCGACATCGACATGGCCGAGGCTCAGAGCCGCAAGCGTCCCGTTGGACTGCAAAGCCAAGGCCTGGAGTGCGTCGTTGAGCTTCCATGATGCATCTGCGAATCGGCAACTGGCGGTGGGCCTCGATGACCTGGCGGGTGCCCTCCTCAAACAGCTCGTTCTGCTGCAGATGGAGCTGCCGAAGCTTGATCTTCTCCAGGGCCTGCCGAGAAGTGCTTGGGCTGCGGCATGCTGCGACTGGCTTCTGCATGCAGCACGGCGGAATTCGGAAAATGCTCAAAGGAAACACCGGCCTTCAGCATCAGCGGGAGCTTCGGGCGGAGCTCACAGTGTACGATCTCCAGGCTCCTGAAAGTGACGACCGTCTAGCCGGGAGGCCGCTTTAGCATTGACCGCGATAGCCGTCAAGAATGTCAGGCCTCTTGGGCACTCCTTTGCATGCCGAGGCACTCCAGCACCGGGTAGCGCTCGAGAGCCGACAGGGCGATGTCGAGTGCGTCCGCACGCAGATCTACGAGCCTCAAGCTCCTGCAGGTCTTTGCCTTCTCTTTGTACACTTCCGCTTGCAATCTGCAGACGGTCTTTACATCATCCAAATGCGTGAATTTCAGCCGGCCTGCGACATCCTTTTTAAATGCCTCCGGCAACATCGGGGCNNCATCTATTTCACGCGAAAGGTTCGTGTCTGTCCGAGTGCTCGACCACTCCCTCTCCGCTACACACCAACCTCGCTCCCCATATGGGGTGGAGTTCTTTTTCAATTTAGAGACCGGCACTGGTTTCACCAGGCCGGTCGGGTGGTCATACAATACCACAGATGTTTGGTCTCTCTCGGCTTTTGCTATGTCTGCTTCCGGCGTTAGAGACTCAATCCGGAGGGTGCTTGTCGCATCATGGCAGTACAGCACATGCATGTG